AAACTCTTTGGTTTTAGGCCCTGCTGGTTCTGCACCAGTTGGACAGCATTGACTTGTGGAATCCTGATGCTCCTATAGAAACATTCTGGGAGATCAGGTATGTAAATTAACTTCTATAAATGAGAGAAATAGCTGTTTTGATTTGTCTTCTGTTTTGAAATAGCTGTGAGTATTTTGGGCAATCTTTGCAACAGCAGCAGGAATCTGCAAGTTAGAATGGTTATGTGCCTTCATGGAAAAGTTGTATCTTCTTGCATTGTACAAATTTAACAAAAATGTAACCAACATTTTTCTGGTCCCTTAAAGACTTTCTTCAGCAGATGTTAAGGTGTAGAAATGATTATTTGGTTGAAAAGTTAAGGATTTTCACCCTCATTCAAATGTTTTAAATTCTATTTCATCCTTYTGGGACTGAGGGGAGGTAATGCTGAACAATTCCAGAAGTGTGGATTTGCTAACTTTGACTCTGAAGCTCTCACCTAAGGAAGGTGATAGCCTGTCCTGGCCTGTGATCTCCATTGGTCTTTCCTGTATATTTATAAAGAAATTTAATTCATTAAAGTGGTCTTGCCTTTTATAACTTCATAGCAGCTCTTGTGGTTGGGTTCTTGGAGAATATGAAGGCAAATGAAGTTCCAGAAAAGTCAAAATTACACAAAATGCTAAACAAAAAAAAATAGGAATCTGCAAACTCATAATTCTAAGAATATTACATAAGATAAATAATACAAAACTTCACAAGTGTGCTYGGTCAGGTGGCTGATGCTGAATTTCATTTTGCTGCAGTTCACAAATGCTTTTTTATATCTGCAAGAAGCTCACAAGTCATCAGATGCTCAGCAGCACAGAAATCCTCAAGTGGCTGCGAGAGATTCTCATCTGTAGGAATAAATTTCTGCTAAAAAACAAAGTAAGTGAACATTACCATCTCCCTGTTAGATCATTAACATGAATTGTTCTCTGTTTTGTCACTTCTTTATTTGCCAGGTTATTTTTGATGGGAGGAGATTTAATAGCTACTCCTACATGTTCTGTTCTCTGATTTCCTCTYTGCTTTGTGAGGCACCTTGGCTGGAATTGGTAACCAGGGTTAGGTTTGGGATTTTTATTTTTTCGTTTCGCTGCACAAGATGCTGTACTTGCCTGGAAAATGAACGTTTCACAGAACTTGTGCCTAACACAGGGAAATAGTCCTGAGGTGAGAAAAAGGGAAGGTAGTTATGGTAAAACACACATACTCATGGATGAAGTAAAAGTTTCCTTTTGGATCTCTCTTCTTCTGAGTCCCAGAATTCTGACTTGCTTCTTTCTGATGTTCTCAAAGTATCAAGTGGTGTATTTCTTAAGGGGAAATACCAGTCTAAGATACTGTTAATGTGAGGGACTTGATAAAGCCCTGACAGCTGCAGTGGAAAAAGTACTGTGTGTATATCCAAGAACTTTTCACCTTTCTCAAATTTATGCCTTTACTCTTTTAAAATATCAGTTGACATATTCTTTTCCTCCCCTCTCTTCACAGCAATCAGATAGGAGTTCCTGCCACTTCCTCTTCCTTTATGATGTCTCTGGAAGTGGGACTAGTCAAATATCTCTTGACCATGAAGAAATGATACGCTGTGCACCAGGAGCTACCCTCAGGAAAGGGAAAGGGAATTCTTCCATGGTAAGTAATACATGTTAATAATTCATTTTAATACTTGAGAAAAAAATACTGGGGGCAAGTAGAAATTAAATTACTTCTAGAGTAATTTTTGAAAATAAAATTAATTATTTCTGAGGAGGAAAAGACATATGTATTTAATATGCTAGTAAACAATGATGTTTGTCACACTTTTACAAAGTCACATTTTTTCAGTTAAAATGTCAGCAAATATTTTTGTATTAGGATTGCAAACAGCCTCCCTTGTGACAGCATGTAAGAGCATTGATCCTGGTTAGGATGGCTTGTTGCTGCTGGAATAAAAGCAGTTTCAAACACAGTTTGGCCAGGGCTGAATTTTAATAAAATTGCCATATTCATGAGCAGTATTGCCCAAGTGGGAGTTGTGTGTTTCCCAGGAAAGCACAGCGGGCTGCAGTGGAACACCGATCTGTCGCCAAGCACAGACCAAGTTGGAAGTGGCCTTATACATGTTCCTGTGGAGCCCAGATATCGAGGCAGTCCTGGTGGCWATGTCCTGCTTCCGTCACCTCTGCGAAGAGGCTGACATCAGATGTGGAGTGGATGARGTCTCAGTGCATAATTTTTTGCCAAACTACAACACTTTCATGGAATTCGCATCTGTGAGCAACATGATGTCAATAGGTGAGAGTCAGGAGACAGTTAAAGTAACTTTGTACCTGGATAGAAGATACTTGGGTTTGAGTTCCTTGAACAGGTTRAGGTTCTTGATTTGATGCTGCTCTGGTTTTTCCTGGAAGGTCTTAATTATTAGAMTTTTTTTAGAAAGTGTAAAGAATTTGGGTGACTGAGCTCAGGAGGATTTTACAATTGTGTAACAAGAAGCTGCCTTTGTAAAAACTTTAAGGGGATATGTTCCTCTTAATTCAAGAATTATTTTCAAAGATCACAAATTTGATGTAGGTTTTTCAAAAAACTTGGTTCAATGTCCTGTGCCTTTTGCAGGGAGAGCAGCTCTTCAGAAGAGAGTGATGGCGTTACTGAGGCGCATCGAACACCCAACTGCTGGCAACACAGAGGTGAAATAACTTCTCACTTTATGTGCTCTGCATGTTTGTTAAAAAAACAAACACAGAAATATTGTTGCTACAAACAGTTTTGAWGTTAAATCCTGATACATCTTCTTTCAGGCCTGGGAGGATACACATGCAAARTGGGAACAAGCTACAAAACTAATCCTTAATTATCCAAAGACCAAAATGGAAGATGGGCAGGTGACTATGAACTTTTCCATAAGTTTGGAAATTCAAAATCAGTCTTTAAGCTAATTTATTTTAAGGAAATTGAATTTGAATTTGGAAAATGCCTGTTGTTTCCCAGGTGACCGAGAGCCTGCACAAGACCATCGTGAAGCGGCGAATGTCACACGTCAGCGGCGGTGGCTCCATCGACCTGTCAGACACGGAGTCTCTTCAGGAATGGATCAACATGACAGGATTCCTGTGTGCTCTGGGTGGGGTGTGCCTACAGCACCGCAGCAATGCTGGTCTGGCCACCTACAGCCCACCCATGGGCCCCCTGAACGAGCGCAAGGGCTCCATGATCTCCATGGTGTCCACCGAGGGCAACGTGGAGACCCCGGTCAGCAAATTCATCGACCGCCTGCTCACCCTGATGGTSTGCAACCACGAGAAGGTGGGGCTGCAGATACGCACCAACATCAAAGATCTGGTGGGGCTGGAGCTGAGTCCAGCCCTTTATCCAATGCTCTTCAACAAACTGAAGAATACCATCAGCAAGTTCTTTGATTCTCAAGGACAGGTAGGTGGTCATTCACGTTTGTGTGACATTATTCATGTTTGTGTCAGGTAAAGTGGTCATTCACATTTGTGTGACATTATTCATGTTTACGTCAGTTTTATCTTTCCCCAGGTGACTGAAGTGGGTCTCTATTTGTCCCTATAAGCAGTGGGATCAGGACAGTACATGTTAATGATTATTGTGATTGTGATTCCAGGCTGTATTTAAAATTCTTGAATTAGTGAACTCTTGAGTGCAGAATCTGTGAGATTGTTTGTGRAATCCTTAGGGATCCTTAACGTATTGAATCTTGACATGTATTGGAATTCTGTTGGCTTGGTGGTAACTAGAAGAGTGCTTGTCTGTGAGATTTTTAAAATGCAGCAGTGTATTTGGCAAATATTCTTTTTTTTTTTTTTTTTTTTTTTTTTTTTAAAATTTTTTTTTTTTTTTTTTTTTTTTTTTTTTTTTTTTTTTTTTTTTTTTTTTGTTTTATGTGTAAAACATTAAGACCAGAAATTTTCTTCCTGTAGGTCTTGTTAACTGACACCAACACACAATTTGTGGAGCAAACCATTGCTATAATGAAGAATTTGCTTGACAATCACACAGAAGGGAGCTCAGAGCACCTCGGACAAGCGAGTATTGAGACAATGATGCTGAATCTGGTTAGGTGAGGAATCCTCCTGACCTTCCTATACACAGGCATTAATTTTAAGAAGTGAGTTAGAATCTCCAGTTTATATCTTTTCTGCTGGTGTCCATGGAGAAGCAGAAGCTGATTTTCTGATCCTCCTTATGGTTCTAACAATTTTAGTGATCATGGGCATTAGTTTTATAGCATGAAGTGCATTGCTGAGGAGAGACTTCAGTTTTTGAAAGAACTGACCATTCCATAGCATGGCCCTGTTCCCACRGGCATTCCTGATTTCTTTGATGTACATTGATTAGTGGTTAACCACTGAAGGGCAGATTTCTGTTCATTTTTACACTGACAGAAAACTTCTTGGCCAGAAGAAATTTGTAACAGGGGATTTCTGGTGGGATGGAATTGAATTAGCAGGAAGTGTTAATTAATCTTTTTGCTTTTTCTTCAGGTATGTGCGTGTACTTGGAAATTTGGTACATGCCATTCAAATCAAAACRAAGCTCTGCCAGTTAGTAGAAGTAATGATGGAAAGGAGAGATGACCTTTCGTTTTGTCAAGAAATGAAATTCAGGTAAGGGATGGCATTATGTAACTTCTAGGGTGGTGTACTGTGGGCAAGTGTAGTTTTCTTTGGTTACATGGTTTAAAAAAGGAGCCAAAACCTCTGTCACACCAATATTCCTGGCACAGGGATGSTTCCCTTGTCTGTCTTTTGAATGATTCAGCGCCCGGTGCTGCATTAAAATTTTATTTTGGTTGTGGTGATGCTGCTCACAATGAACAATTTAATGTGTGATACAGATTGGAGTATTACTTGGTCTAATGAAATGAATTCCGTTCATCTTCAGTGTGTGATGCTTCTAATGAGTTCTTACAATGAGTTTGTAATGATTAGGTATTATATCAGCAGTAGTAAGTGTGTTTAAAAATGCCACCCCAAAACCAAACAAAGCTACAGTAAAAACCCAACAAAGCTAAAACCATCTACTTCTGTGCAACAGGAACAAAATGGTGGAATATTTGACAGACTGGGTTATGGGAACATCTAATCAAGCAACAGACGAGGATGTGAAATGCTTGACAAGGTAAGAAAAAACTTTCTTCACCTGAAACAATATTCCTGGTGGCATTTGATATCCATGGATGAGCTTGGCTTCCTGTAACAATAGTAATGTTAAGGAAAAGACAAAAATTGAAATGGAAGCTTTGGCAAGCAACAGCATTTAATGCTTGGTCTTAAATGACTTGGCTCCTTTTAATACTTTTTCTAGTTTAGAACCTGTAACACAAAATATAAGAGCTGTTTTCATGAGGCACAGATCTTTAGGAGAATGCCTTTTTTTATTAAAGACATTATTGCTTTTCATCTGTAGTTAGAACTATAAGAAAAAGTGACTTTTATTTGGTTAWATTTTTGTTTTTCAGAGATTTGGACCAGGCGAGTATGGAAGCAGTGGTCTCTCTTCTTGCTGGGCTTCCACTCCAGCCTGAAGAAGGAGATGGTGTTGAGTTGATGGAAGCAAAATCTCAATTATTTCTTAAGTAAATAGTGACTTTTAACTATTTCTCTATACAATGACTCTAAAGAGAAGCATTGTATGACTTTTATTACAAACTGTGTTTTTATTCCAGCAGAAAAAATTTTATTATTCCGACAGGATTTACCTCTTCTATGTTCCATTTCAAAATCTCACCYTATGTTTAGGGAAAGATTTTCAYTTAGAAAATAATYTGAAAATTTGRCTTTGTTTCTGCTAATGCAGATATGTGTTTCATTCATGGCAGGGTTTAGCTCAATTTGATACCATAGTTTTATTTATTTTTATCCATGAAACTAAAACTCTCTTTGAAGTTTG